GAACATATACATTGCTTTAAACAATCTCGTTCGCGGTTTTTTTCTTAAGTTCTTAATCTTAAAAATAGCAAAAATCGTTTTCATTTATTTATTACTATTATTATCTTTGATCATTGTGTATAATTGTTCTTTTATCAAGACTCCAGAGCTATCCATATTGAAAATAACCATTCATTTAAAAGTCGAACAGAAAAAAAACGTGCAAATTACAATAGCGCACAGTATACATATAATTATTCTATATAAGTGGGCAATGTTCGCTTTTAGTTGTTTTACATATTAACTATTATGTATATACTTGTGCTATAAAGAAGAATGGAAAACAATTTAAACCAGCGAACGATATCTGTAAATTTGAGAAGTAAACTCTATATGAATAATCAATTTTACAAATTTAAACACTTACATTGGATATACTATTACTTGAAATGTTATAAACAAAAGATAGACTGAATAAAATAATAACGCGGTAATAGGACGTCTGCTTAAAAGGTTTGTAGGAAGTTTTCCCTTTAAATTCATTCGGGTATTCATTTTTTTGTATCACGTTGGTTATTTTGAACGTGTAACTTTTCAGTAATTTTGGATTATAATTTGTACAGTTTTATGGATTAAATTACCGGATACATAATTAAGGTAAAATTCTTTCAAGGTTTTTTTTTCTAATATGTAATTCGTTTTATAAATGGGCAAAGTGATCCGAAGGACGGTTTTATAGTTCAAGTAGGTACAAAATTTGGTTAATTTCTTTAAATATTGAAACTAAATTGACATTTTGTATTATTTTTTTCATTTCTGTTACATTAAAATTGTGTGAAAAATGCACCTGCTGAACGCCCTCAATATAACACGAGTATTATCATTTTCATAAAATTTCAACCTTATCCATAAAATAATATTTTAAGTTTGCTTTATACATCTTAAGGAGAGTATAAGAGCTTTGTTTTAATATAGTGTCATGAAAATGCTGTTTTTTGTTCTATAAAGGCTACACACAGTTTGTTCAGCACTTACTTATAAACACTTGAGTCACTTTACAGGAGGTTTATTGTTATATAGACCTAGCAAGTTGACCCGTTCCAACTTTAAATTATTCCCTAAGTGGAATATATTAAGGGTTACGGGGAATGTTATGATGGTATAAGGATGGGAGAGCTTATAAGGACATTTTTTCTCAGCGTATTAATTACTATTATTACTCAGAGGAGGTCTTTTTATTATTATTTCAAATCTGAAATAATGACTTTTCCTTACATTTTTTGCACCAAAACAAATATAAAAATTAAGGAAATATTAAATTGATGACGTAATCAGAAACTGATCAGATAGCATAGAATTTAAATATTCTGTTTATGATATATTTGTACAAAATGTAAGTAAGCATATAATACGCTAAGTGCCGTGGAAGGAATGTCCCTTAGGCATTTAAGTTACAATCTGTTGGGAAATGTCCCTTATAATAAACTACCCATGGGGGTAGTGTCCCTTATAAACGAGATCCAATGGAAAATGATCCTTTGTTGTTACGGTCTATGGGAAAAAATGACCCTTTTATCTTTAAGCCAACGAAGGAATGTCCCTTAAATGAATTGCTGACTGGAGTAATACCCCTTGCAATTGAGATCCCATATGAGAAATGCGCCAAGGATGTTGCTTGTTGTTGTTTCGCCTTAAAATAGTAGATTTAACCCCATTTAGGAAGACTGACCCTTTGTTTAACAAGACAACGAGGAAGAGGTTTTTATACTTAGTGTTGAAGACTTTTGAAGTATGGGGCTATGTGATGTTGCAAATTCTATCGTCTCTCATTAACAGACTCAAAACAGCTGAGTCCGTAATTTTCACATTTTTAAATTGTGTCATCCTCACTCTCGAGTGATGTCAAGTGAGATACAGTAACAGGGCATAGCAAATAATGATTTAGGTCCACAAAATATCTCTATTTAACTCCCCCGATGTTCTTTCCACATTATGTGATAAATCTATAACATAATTACGCATTCTTTACCATTAGTCTTTACCAATAGTCCAATATATATTTATTTTAAAAAGCTACAGAGAATATTATTGCTAAGCAATTAAATGTTCTAATCAATTAGATCTAATGCTAGAATGACTGCATCCAGACAAATCCTACTTTATTTGATTGTCATGTTGGACATCTTGACATAGTGAATAATCGAACGTACGGAAGCTGATATGGGACATCCTGGTGATGTGATAATGTCATCACTGTCCAAAGATAGCTAGCAATGACGTCACGTGGTATAGGAAACAAAACATTGTGAAAAAAGATCAGAAATTCATATGAAAATGTTGTATCATGACATTGTCATTGTCTTTAACGCAATGTTTACCAATGATATGACGTGATGACAATTTATTTTATTCCAATAGGCTTTATTCCACGAGGACACAAAACATGCAAAATAACGAACATTGTATGACATCATCATAACAACACTGTGAAAGAAACAATGAAAATAATCAAAATACTACCTCTAGACCGAACCCCTTTCTGAATGGAATGGTGAATTTTGAGTTTTGTTGATCTCTCCATTAAAATTTCTCAATTCAACAAACCAAATGGTTATAAAACAGTTACGTATGGTGAAGATTTGCAATAGTTCGGCTTTGTGAAAGGATGACTAAGTTCGGCTTTGTGAAAGGATGATCTGCTATAAGTTCAAATTATGCAATAAGTATACACTGTATGTTAGAGTTCATCCGTGCTGTTCTACAGAAATTAGAAACTTCGACGGGAGCGACAGGAAAATATTTCTAATTTCTTTAGAACAGCTACGGATGAATACTAACATACTTAGTGTCAAGCCTTATTTGGCCTCATTATTATTTACTTTTTTACATCACTATGTAGTTCTATGATGTACAATGAAAAACAGGAGTCGACTATGAACGGAATTCGATATAGTATCGACTTTTGTTCTTCTATGAAAATTAACGCACGGAATTATTAAGAAATACAGCGTTTTCATTGGCTGACAAATAAAGTTGGACACTAAAAACGGAATTCGACATAGTATCGACTTTGTTCTTTCCATGAAATTTAACACACATATTTTTTTAGAAATACAGCGTTTTCATCAAATACATGTATAGTCCTCTTTTATCTTTGATAGTTGTAGAGCACTGAGTAAATTGCATTTATAGGAAAGTAACTTTTAAGTCCGTAATGATTTTAGAGGTAAATACTTGGTTGCTGCTCCCCATTGTGCGACAATGGCCCGAAGATGTGCATAATGGCCTGAGGGCTGTAGGCTAAATGTTAGCGTTACATTATAATTATATTGTTTCTTTTTCACTTTAAACACTGCTCATTTTGGATATGTGATAAATAGAATATTTTATTGGTCTAAGTTCAATACTGAATGTATTGAACTCGTTGAATATTATGGTCGCCAGAGGCTCGCAAAATATAACTTTTTTCAACTCGTTCAAGAAATTCGGTATTAAACTTACACTCATTCAATATCCTGTATTTATTCCATTTAGTCACGATATCATTTTCATCCGCATTCCGATATACTCGTAGTCCAGCTACAGTGAAAATTTTATTTAATAAATTTCACTAGTAGTGGTTTATCAGAATATAATCATCTGATATATAACAGAGTATGAAATAAGACGTTTATACTGTGAGTGGGAGACGTTAAATCTAACGGGGGCGGTGTTCTCGTAGTGGTGTCTTATTTAAGTTTATTTGAAAATTACAAATGCAGTCTGGTCAGGATCAATGAGTTCATTTACAAACCCTACTACAAGTAGAGAAACTGATAGCGAACAGCATTGATCCTGATCAGACTGCGCGGATCTGGATCCATGCTGGTCGCAAACCCATTATGTTGGTTTTGTCGTGACGCAGCTCAAATTACTTTTGGTCATCGTTTTGCTTTAGAACCCAATTACATAAAATGTTAAGTCCTATTCGAAAATTACTTTTAGTAGTCAAAAATCAAACAAGTTGTAATAGCAAATGTTGGTTGATATTCAGGTAGAGATCGAATCTCTGCATGATCGTGATTTAAAAATATATTCATCTTGCACGAGTTTTACGTGATTACAAATGGCTTATGTTGCTTTTCGTGCCTCTGGATGTGTTGACCCGTGCATGCGTGCGTGCAGTTCGTTATGAAAGTTTAACTAATAAATAAATCTGTACTTTGTGAGACATTCGGCCTTCGAGCTGTGGTAACATCTTTAAGGAAAGGCAATTACATGTCATAACGTACATTAGATTCAGCGGTAATATTTAAAAAATATATACATGTATCTTATGGTATTGATGTCAAATGTATGGTTCAATTAAGGTTATCTTCCCCCAACGAAACACAATCAGTTATCGAATGATAAACAAGAAAATAAACATGATAGTAGTTTTATTTTGACTTGTAAATATAAATATATAAAGATACATAAATTTACATGTGTTATACAAAGTTTGTCATTTATAATACACTATACACTTAATATTGATTTTAAAACAAAATGCTATGTTATACAAAATATTCAATTAACATACAATTATACATTACATTATGCCAACTTCAGGTACGTTGTAGTACCGATACTGCTGAAATATGGTCATTTTGAAAACATTGATGTATGTAATAGAAGCTGACAGATTGAAATACATGTAATCTTTGTCCATTTAATTATAATATGTAAATGTATACTATTAATTAAATAATGGGTGCTGTTAATGCGAAAGAAAATTTCAAAATGTCATATGTCATAAATGATTATAAGACTTATACACATTAATGAATTTATATGCAATGTTGATAATGATTTATGACGTATATATTTCAGAAATAAACAACATGCTGAATTTATTATTACAAAGACAGAACTTTTAATTTTCTAGTAAAAAGATGGATAAATTTTAAAAAAATCTCAACTTTTGATATTTATATTTACACTGATGACTTATCATGATTCGTTAATTGTTAAACATAATCAATTTGTCAAAATCCATGTCTTCAATATGATATCTTAAACTTTTGTAGTTTTATGTTACCTTCACATAAGTTTGTTATTGCAAGAAAGGATTTATCACGAGAGACACAAATTGCTCTTGGATATTTCATATCTAGCTTGTGTGATGACAAGATCTGACCAGTTTGTGATATCTGTACAATGGAGTTTGTTTCTTCACTACAAACCAGGATAGAGCCAGATTGACCGATCGCTACACCACATGGTTCCTTTATCTGATCATCCTTCACTACGATTCTCGTGTTTGTCTTGACGTCATATATGAAGACAGTGTGCTCGTATCTGTCTGTAAGCACCACTTTGTCACTATTCCTTATGTAAGTACAAGCGCTTGTTTCTATAGGATATGACTTATTTGGAAAGTTAATATTGAAATCTTTCTCTTCTCCTGTAGATGATATCATACGAACAGGTGGTGAATGATCAATTGTCCCGCCGACGAAATATTTATCATCTTTTTGACATATTGAGTAATAATTTGTTGTCACTTTGATTCTTCTATCTAAAGTTATGTCATTAGATTTGGTTACATGTAGAATGTCTAACAACTTTCCACCACTTGTTATCGCTACTTTATCCTCAGAAACAGCAACAACAGATAGTGGCCGGTAAGATAACTGATATGATCCCACTTTCTCAAGCTTCTCATTGTAAACTAAACATTTCTTATTTTCATTATCAACGGCAACAAGTCTACCATCAGGTAAAAAATCAATCCCTGTATACAATGGCTCGTCTTTATCACCCTTTCCCTGCTTTAAATCAATGGACTTTACTGGTGTTAGTATCACTTCTGTGTTTACAGGAACTTTAGTATTGGCTACCTCTGATAGACAGAATAACAGAGTCAGTTGTCCTGGAACATAATCAGTGACTGGCAGAGGAGGAAGTTTTAATGTTTCATCAAAATCAAAGGTAGCAGTCACGGTCTCTAAATCATGACATTCTGCATTGACATTTTTGTGAAGAATATTGACGTCATTCTTCATCTTCTGCTCTGCTATGAATCGTTGTACCACAGTTCCATTTTGATACACCTTGTCAATCGTCTCCAGACACGTTGTTATATCAGCTAGATATTTCTCGTTCTGTGACTGCTTTATTGCCAGTTTTTCTAATGTCTCTTTCTTAAACGATTCAACGTCTTTAACAACGGAAATTTCCAACTCGTCAAACATTTTCATTACTTCATCCCGCATTCGTCTGATTTTAATTGGTATTTCTTTAGCATCTTCATATAGTTTCTCTTTTGATGAGACAATGCTGTCTATGATAATGTTAGCCTTCTCTCTCACTTCCTCCAATTTAACTTTTAAAGTGGAACTTCTATAGGCTGACCTTCCAGCGACCTTCTGAATTTCCACAACGCTGTGACATTTACGATGGTCAACAATAGCACAGGTACTGCAGCAGAGCTGATTTTCATCTTCGCAGAAGAATTTTAGAACTTCCTGATGTTGATCACATTGGTCTAATCCTTTCATATCAAACGAGCCTTGTTTCGTTTTCGCCTCATTCGCGTTCACTAACTTGTGATTTCTTAAGAAGGCGTGTGTGTAATGAACGTTAGAACAATCCAAACACTGAAATTCATCACAAGCTGAACAAAACTTTTCCGCTGCTGTTCGTTTATTTTTTTTCAAACATGGTTGACACAGAATTTCCTGAAATCGCCCGGACACTTCACCATTTCCGGCATTGTTTGCAGCCATTTTGCACTGAAATGTAATGTGTAGTTTACTATCGCTAGTCGGAATGCGGAAGTAAAAAAAACTTTTATTCACTCGGATTACCTTAGCATTTATGCTTCTCAATCAGTGGTGGAGCTAGTGGTAAAAGTTTGCTTCTTAAAGGGGTCTTTTTGCAGCTGTGGAAGATTAGTTTACTACGAAAATATTTGGAAATATTTTTGTATCAAAAGCACAAATGAATGTTTATAAATTACAATTATTTAACAAAATATCATTTATTATATATAATGAATATTGTATCATAATCGATTTGTTTCATACATTTTTTTGAATGTTTTGAAAAATTATATACCGGATAAATGGACATCAGGGTACAAAGGGAACAATTTGTGTTATGTGATCAAACAAAATTTTTAATAAGCGATATATATTAAAAGTAGTATCAAAATAAAAGTTTATTGTAAAATTCAATAATCAAATTTTCCCGTATATAGAGACATCTCCTTTGCAACAGAGATTTTCCAAACCAGGCATTAAGTATGTTAATCAAACAATTTTAAGTCCCAGATTTACATAAAATAATAATTATATCATTTGATTGGAATAAACAGTATATAAAGCTGCATGCATCCATCAAAAATCAAACTTAAGAAAAATGTGTGCCATTTGCGCCAAAAAATCCCCGTTGCGTAATTTAGTCATACCGGTTGAAAAGTTAAAGGAGCACACGGTTCACTTAGTGATATAATAGTGCATGGTGATATTATTAGTTATAAATATTTTTGATAGGTTATATGGCCCTATATAAACGGTTAAATGGCAAACAACCATTGATATACGGCCGTATAACCTGTCATAATTAAAATATTTATAACGAATTTATAATTATATAGCAAGCAATATTTTCAGTGAGAAAAGTGAGATTTCTTCATAAATCGACAGCAGCACGATTATCCAATGAAAAGCGACGTTACAAACGTGCAGTATTATAAAGCTTATAGTTAAGGTCTTCGGAAATTATATAAATGGACTTTTAAAATGGACTCTATTTGTTTGTTTTTTTACATATCATGACTGAATTTTTTTCTAAAGATTTATGTACAATTTGATGTAGGTCTAAAATTGCAAATTTTCAGATCATTCTCTCATTTCAATTTCCCCGAATAATCATTTAATTGTGAAAAGGACACAAAACTGAAAAGTGTTGCAACGCTTTTCACTCAAATCGGACTGAGAATTTCCCTAAATGTTGATTGTCAATGTAATTCTGAGTTTATTTATATATCATTCTTTGCAGAATTGTCCATTTTAAGTACTTTACTTGATCTGTGTAAAACTTTTCAAATTTTATGTTTCTAGGTTTTTTGACCTCAGTGGAACTTCTTTTAGTGAAAAATGTGTGCAATGAGGAGGAGCTATGTTGATACATTTCGGGACAGGAAGCGTAACGAGGAGGAAGAAGAGTTTAGAAAAAAGATGAAAAATAGAGAAACAATCTCAGCAATGTAAGTTCTCTTTCTTTATTTTCGGTCCTTGTGCTGACTGATTAGAGTAGTTTAATTTGTGCCGCGTCACGACAAAACCAACGTAATGCATTTGCGACCAGCATCGATCCAGACCAGCCTGCGCATCCGCGCAGTCTGATCAGGGTCCATGCTGTTCGCTATCAGTTGCTCCACTTGTAATAGGGTTTGTAAGCGAACAGCATGGATCCTGATCAGACTGCGCGGACGCGCAGGCTGGTCTGGGTCCATGCTGGTCGCAAACGCATTACGTTGGTTTTGTCATGACGCGGCTCATTTATCTTAAACACGGTAAGAAGGTGACTTTTTTTGTGCAAGCCACCATTCGTACTGTAAGGCGTCAAATTGTCCATGGAGGCTAGAACTGGATCCTTAGTTGTACAATGTATCTTTACTGTGTTGAAGAAAAAGTGTCGGCTTTTATCCATTTACTAGTATAGATATTTTTTCATTGTAGTGAAGGGTCGAAGGCTTTTATCCATTTACTAGTACTTAGAAGCCGAACTTTCAATAATCTCTCTTAGCTTTCGTTCTTTATTTTTCAAGGATCTACCTATGAATGAAATGAACTAAAATAAAATATTGCCTAAATCTTATAGAAGATCTTACATATCGATATGCGCGGCTGATGCCCAATCGGAGTATCTCGCATATATACCAATACTTTTCTTAAAAAAAATTACGAGACAGGCCAACACTTGCGTTTGTGGATGTGTCTTCGATGTTTCGTCAGTTCTATAACTTGTTATATAAATATCATACAGTAGTTGAATTAGTGACACAAATCATTGGGAACCCGGAATATGTCAATTTTGAATATACATTGATAGAAAGGGTGTTTTTTTATATCATCATCATCATGGTTATTGATGTTGTTTGTTGTTGTTGTTGTTGTTGTAATTGTTTGTCTAGGGAGAGGATTATATAATTTCATTTTACGCAGATGCTTAAAAACTGCTTCTAGCCAGACATAACAACATGTATCACATCAACTAATTGCAAGACCAGACATATAATGGCATATAATGGCAAAATTCAATCGCAGAACATGTTATCGTCTACTATAACCCACTCTCCGTCCCATCTCCCTCCCTTTTTCTTCAAATTGATATATTCCCAGTGTTGGTTTTGTACAGTGCTTCAATGACCTATAGATTGAAGAAAATGGTATTCGGCATTTATTCAAATTTCGTAAATAAATACATGCTCATGAAGTTGTTTGCCAGGCAAAACTATATTTGCAGAAGTATACATAATTTATTATATAAAATCTATATCAAATTTAAAAGAAATGAATCGAGCAAATGACGCAATGTATTTTAAAACGAAAGGAAGAATAACTCCTGAGACAAAACGGAATGTATATTCTCGCAGTTACCGGTATTTCATTAGACTTCTGTCGGATAACCGACTACCGTTGTTAACTCCTGAATAAACCTATGATTTCAAGTTTAAAATATTGTTAATTTTCTGTATCAATCAATCGATTGATATTTCTGAATCGTTCTTTTTTTTTCTTTTCCTTCTGTTGTTGTTGTTTTCTTGTTGTTGCTGTTGTTGTTGTTGTTGTTGTTGTTGTTGTTGTTGTTGTTTTCAAATCATCATAAAACTATTCACATACTTACAATACAACCTTGCAAACCAGCATCCTTTAAGATGCAAATGTTGTAATGTATTTAGTTGTTGATGTGGTGCAATGCTGTAGATTTCTTTTTAAATTATTTTAAGGTTTTAAAAGTTTTGTAGGTTACTTGTTAACAGAGGGCTTCTCTGCACTGCAGAGTTTGCATTAAACAAAAGCTAGGACTTTAAATTTATTTTTTAACTGTATATCTTCAAGAAACATGCCCGGGCACAAACATATATATGTCTTTGATGATGATTTCGTTTAGATTAATTCGTGATTTATTTTGTTTATGGTGAGGATTACGGTTACATTAACAAAAATATTTGGATCGTTTAAATATACGCTAAAAACATAGTTTTGTAAATATAGCAATAATGACATCGACTATCTTTGGGCATTCATTCGATAACCAGATTTAAAACAAACAAACAAATGATTAAAACAATAAATGCGTAAAAATAAATGTTACATTTATAAAATATCTGAGTCATAAAGTAAATAGTTTCAAAATATATATTTAATCTATGTTGAAAATTAGTAGAAAATAGAACAGCTTTATGATTTAAGACTGTTGAATGCAATTTAATCATGTGAAAAGAAACAAAAATAAAATTGTGCAACACATACTATGATATAACATGATTGTATGGTACATAATGATGTAACATGATCGGGTGATTTAGTATGATGAAGTAAACATGTTTTGTGATGTAAAATTTAAAAAGAACATAATAGTATGATTCATAATAAATTATTACATAATAACATGAGTTTGTAACACAGAACAATATACTGATATTTTACATATAAATGTGTGATAAAGAAAATTTGATGGAATAAACGAACAAGTTCTGTATTCCGCTATTTCATAGCGTAAATAACGTCATAGAATATTCCGTATATAAATTAACATGACAGCATATTCAAAATTATTGGGTCACAATTTGGCATTTTAGTCCTATTTAAGGACATGATTGGTGACATGTCTGGGGTCCGTCCCCTCAGCGACTGGGCGGATGGACCCTTATTAAACACACATATGGCAGCGTGTCCCACAATTTCCAAAACTTGTAACAAAAATCATGAAAAAGTTATCAACCCTTGTCTAAAATGAAGCAATGAGTATTCCATGTTTCAAAAGAACTATGATGTTACAAGCGTAATTGATATTTCACGAGACGTTTAAGCAGATATCTTATCATGAATACAATCGCAACGTCTCGGCCCTTTCCGATAGTCTTCGGATTATAGATAATAGCCAAGGACGTTCCGATTGATCAGGGATAGTGTCAAATCTTGTGCACCCAGCGGTATTTACATAAGAATATTTCAAAAACCCTTTTGAACTATTTTCTCGCACGTGTTCACGACAATAAAGGATTGCAAGAGCCCTATTAATCGTAGAGCAAACAAGATGAACTTGAATAAAAGAATAAGAGCTATTTATTTATACAACATTCCATAATTTACATAAAGATGAACTCTGCAACCTCGTGCTTGTTTGATGCGACCTATCCATAATTAACATGATTGTGCACATTGTGGCAGCCTGGTGAAGTTCATGTTTTAGGTTGAGCTATTACTACCAGTCCCTGACCGCTACGGTTTCAACTCCCGCAAGAGACGTTGAAATATAACCTTCTAAGTAGCTTTCTTTAAAAAAACTTATTGGTAAGCCGGCTCTTTGGGCCCCCTTCCTGCTTTGTGCTCAATAGCCTACGGGGTACCTTTGCGATGGTCCTTTATGGCTGGAATAAGTGAGTCGGTGTTGTGTTCTGTGAACTCGCTCTGACTTGTTGATATATGTTCTAAATAATCTATCCGGATGGCAAAAAAACATTTGTCTTGCATTGCATAATTATATAAAATAA